GACATAATTTAATCTGTAAGCTGAAAGCCACATTTTTACTAATTCTTCCAAGTTCTAATCTTTTATATCTAAGGCTTACATCGTGTTTAGCACAGAAGGAATGCCAAAAAAAAATAACATCTAACGTGAAACAAATATATCTTTGAATTTTGTGGAGGTATACGTGTTGTCTGGTGCCCTCGTCATTTATGACCCTTAGGCAGTTTTGAGCTTTGCTCTATCCTGTGCCATCCTCACCATTGGTGATATACTTGAGCCCGTTTTTACAGTCAACATGTCAATCCACATCCCTGAGGGTCATCTGTTTTTCTGACCCTTCACCTTTTCAAGAGTGATATAGTTTTCCAAGGACTGACTCCACCTAATAACATACCCAGAGTCTGTGAGGCACAGCTTCTACTATTCCTGCTTCTAAGCTATATCTTGGTTGTACTTCCTCCAAGATAGGCTTGTCTATTTCCTTGTCAGTCTATAGGATATCGAGCATTCTAATCCAGTACCACAATTCAAAGGCATCAATTCTTCTATCATCCTTATTCACTGTCCAACTTTTAGATACATAGAAAGCAATTAAAAATGCCATGGCTTGAATCAGGCACCCTTAGTCTTTAAACTGCCATCCTTGCTCTTTAACACTTGGAGAAGTTCTTGACAATAGATTTTTGTAAAAAATATAACACATCCTTTGCTTTCTTGATTATTGTTCCCTGGGTGTTGATCCTCTGAGGTACACTGGGTTGGCATGAGTCAAAATAGATTTAATGGCAGCTGGTATAGTTTTGGATTTTGCTCTCCTCAGTTCATTCTTCAGAGGGGGACACTTGATCTCTGAATGGTAGGGAGTTAAGAACACAGGAATGCAGTGAGGAACAGCAAGAGTGACTTAGAACTTCAGAAAATGAGCTAGAGCTCAAAGATCTAGACTGTGTTGGTCTCCCTTCATCTTCATCTTTAGTCTCCCAACATTTGTGATGTTGGTCCCTTGCTGGAAGACATATATCTGATTCACGAGTAACATATGCAGGACTCCATGATAGGTGAAGGAGCTGTGGATCCTATTGTTGCAAACGAAGAGAAAGCAGCAATACAGTGACAACACCCAGGAGCTGCAGCAACACTGCATGCCCGTCCACTGACTTCTCAGGAGTAAAAATTCATGGCTGTGACTTCACTTCTACTTTTCAGATCTCAAGCAAAATGTCTCTTGCAGTCTACACTCTCTACTATTCTGGGCTAGGAGATGTAGTCCTGGCCTGTCTAAATTGTCGTTTTAGGTGCCATCGAGTTGTAGACAACTCATAGCGACCTTATGAATGCAAGACCTGAACACTTGTATAACTTTCATCATTTCTTCAAGTTCATAGAGTTTCTGGAGGCAAGCTATTTCAGAAGTGGATGCCACTCCTGCTTCCAAGCTTGTTTTATTCGGGGAGCTCCACCAAACACTGTTCACCATGGGGAACCATAATTGTATTTGATACATCAGTGTCACAGTGTTCAGCATCACAGCGACTACGAGTTACCTCTGTACAGCAAATGGCTAGACCAGTGCTATGCCACTTAGAAGAATGTTTGACCAAAAAACAATTAAAGTCAGGCCTGAGGGCCAGAGACCTGAGGCAAAGCAGGAGGATTGGGGGAGAGCCATGCTTAAAAGGAGTGTGCACTCATGTACAAATTTAGACAATCCAACTAGGAATGAGGTAAATAAGTAAAACATTTACAGGTCTCATAGTCTGGGTTATTTGTAGAATTTGTAGGTGCTGAGGGCGTGATAACAACATACAGAACATTGGATTCTCTCCTCCCTGCTTTGCTCGGTACAATGAGGGTTTTCTGTCCTGTATTCTGAGGGCAGAGGAGGAGATTGCCCATCTTTCTTCTAAGGAGCTGCTAGGGTGCTTAGGAGAAGTTTTAAGGAAATTTTGTCAAAAGTACTCTGTTAAAGCCAAGATTCTGACTGGATTTTTTGGCTGCACATAGTATTTCCAAGTAATATCGCAGTAAACAAAAGTCTGCCCCTCTGATGACTGTGCAGTAGTAGCTCATGTCTGGCTACTGCCATGTCATGCTCTCTGATTGCAGAATCCTGGGCAGACGAAATGAACAAAATCAATGCCATTTTGTTTTAGAGAGACACTCAATGGCCAGAGTCACATGCTGGATTTATTTACCAAAGTAGACTGTGAGGTGTCCTTTTTCAGTAGTGAGGAGTCAAGCAGATGTCACGACTGTGTGAATCCAGCATTTCCCCAACTGTTCAGTGAGATGCTACAGTATATAGGAGGAAAAGGTTTGTGATGAAATGCTTTGGGAAATGCTGGCTTGAGCAAATTAGACCTGTTTACAAAGGAACTTTCAAGAATCTTGACATGTCAGCGTTCACTGTGCAGATGTAATTAAAGGGCAGGATATGTAGTGTTTCCCAGACATGTTTCATGAGGGAATATTTTTCACTCAGAGTGTATTTATTTGACTAGTTGTTTCACAAAACGCCCTTGGGCTAACAGCGAACTTACCTGTCAGGCTGTGGCCTAGGTGATTTTTTTCCAGGTTTCTTTGACTACTGTAATTCAAGGAAAAAATTCTATAATCATACGTCATGACAAGGCCTTCACTTACTCATTATGGGTTTAATTGTGTCCCCCAAATTGCTTGTTGTAAATCTTAATTCTTATTCTATAGCTTCAATTCCACTTGAGAATAGACTTTGCTATTTTAATGAGGCTATATTATCAGTGCAAATTCAAACTAACTCACTGACATCAAGTGGAAGCTGACTCAGCTGACTCTCCAGCTGGTTTCAGAGGCTGTAAAGCACGTGGAAGCAGGCTGTTCATCTTTTTCCTTATTGTGATTGGTAGATTGGAACTCCCAGAGAGGTGTTACCTTTAAGTTAGCAGTGCGAACCCCCATGGACTCCACTAGGAGAGCTAGGAAGCATAGCAATGCAGGATTGTTTGGAGCCAGTGACTCTTGAGATATGAGTATTAGGCAAGAGTGAGAGAAGACAGATGTTATACCACATGCAGGTTACCAGACAACTAAACGAATAGAAGCAGAAAGGTCAAAAGGAACTTCTCTCGGAGCCAACAGAAAGAAAGCCTTCCCCAAGAGCCAGTGCTAAGGTAGACTCATAGCCTCTTAACTGTGAGAAAAATAAATCATGTTGTTAAGAACACTCACTTGTGGTATTTATGTCATAGTAGAGCTCTAGTGGCCCAGTAGTAAGGGATTACACTGCCAACCTAATAGTATGTGGTTAGAATCTACTGGAATCTCCTTCCAGATTATTTTACAGCCTCTGAAAACCCATCAGAAGGTCAGCTGGGAGTTGGTCTGACATGAAGGTATACAACAACAGCTAGAAGAGAGTGAGGCATTATCATAGTAGGAGACGTATTTACTTGAGAGGAGGTACCAATAAACTGGTTAAATGAGTAAGAAGAGATAGAGGGTATGACATTGTCTGCCACTAACAAACTGTATTATCATAAAGAAGACACCTAAGTTATCTCACTCTCAGGAGCTTGACTTGTAAGATGTGGTTAATAATGTTATGTATCTCAAGAGCTGTTGTTGTTGTTGTTGTTATGTGCCATTGAGTTGCCTGCGACTCATAGCGACCCTATGTACAACAGCCCGGAACCCTGCTCTATCCTGCACTAATCTCACTGTCTCTGACATACCTACCCCGACGACCCCAGTCACTGAACCAATCCATCTCATCGAGGGTCTTGCTCTCCTGTGCTCTAAGTAAGTAAAGCATATATGACACTCACAGAAGTTCCTGGCTGGCAGAGATGGTTAAATACTTGACTGTGAGACAAAAGGTTGGCACTATTAACACACCCAGAGGTAGCTCAGGAGGTAGTCCTAGTGGTCTGCTTCTGAAAGCTCAGTGTTGAGACCATATGGATTAGTTGTGTAGATGGGACTGTTATGTGTTACAACTAACTTGATGACACAGCTGTCAAGCAGCAAACAGCATTGCAATGTACCACAATATATCACAATGTACCACAATATAGCTAAAAGTGGAATCCCTGGGGGCATACACAGCTTAAGTGCTTGGTTTTAACTCAAAAGCTGGCAGCTGAATCTACCCAGACCCCCTTGAAAGATAGACCTGATCAATGTACTTCCAAAAAGTAAATGCCAGTGAAAACTCTATGAGCCAGTGAAACGCATGAGATCAGCAGGAGTTGGAATTGACTCAGTGACAACTGCTTATAAGAACACAAATTGTAGGTCTTGAAGTAGGTAATAAAAAGAATGTGAAAATTTTACTTAGACTAGTTTTATCATTACATTGGTGGTTTTTTTATAAAATAATTTTATAAAAGTCCATCAAGATATTGCATAGAAAATACAAACTAAGGTAATATATATATACATTTCATAAAAATAGAATACATCTTGACATTTGCTTCCAGAGTTTGTTACCACCATGTACAGTGTATTGACGTTTAACATTAATGTTAATTTGAACATATGTGGTTTTCCAAGAAAAACAAAGAAATCTATCCCATTGATATTTGACAGGAAGATCTCTTAAAAGATGGAATGTAAATGTTTTGGAGCTAACTGAATGAAGGTTATATGAAAATGTCAGAGGAAAGATACATGCTATGAACAATCATCTGAAGCCAATATAATGTTTTTTCTACTATCATAAATGGTTCAGTTGATTTCACAAAATCACTGTCAGTATCTTTATTATTCAATCAAGGTAAGCACTGTTCAGGATCATAAGAAACCTTCTAGTAGGTGGATTGTGTTGTTGTTGTTGATTGCCTTTGAGTCGAGCATGACTCACAGTGACCCTATGAATAAAAGGCCTGAAGCCTTTCTATAACTATCGACATTTATCAAAGTTCACAGAATTTTCAGAGGCATGTTATTTAGGAACTGGATGGCCTCTCCTGCTTCCAAATCTCTAAGAAAATCTAGGAAAGTGTAAATCATATAGCATTGTCTGCATACACAGAAGAGATAGGTTTCTAAAATGAGTGGTGCTTTCTTCTTTCCTTAAAATGAAAATATGTGTGTAAATACTGTTATACAGTATCAAAGTATACCTTAAAAATAAATCTTTATAAGTTATTTCATATACTTTGATCAAAACAGGTAACAACCAGGTTTACTTATCTAAAAAAAACGTTCAAATGTTCAAAAAGCCACTTGCCTGCAACTTTGCTATTTTTGGAAGTAAAAATGACCTTATAGCTATTTTGAGATTACAAAATATTTCTGATGTGTCCTGTTAGATGCTCAGGACAATCTTTGGTAAAGTAACTGCTCCAGTGTAATAAATAAAGCAAGCAAAAAGGGAGTGTTCTAGACCTTATTAAAAGTCGTGAGCATGGTGGTATACTGGAGATACCTCAGAGTACCAACAAAGACACACAGGACAGAGCAGACATAGCACCATTTACAAGTTGCCAAGATGGCAACCATTCAGGAGACAAGAATCTGGGAGGGGACTTGATTCCCATGATTAATGCAGTGTAAATGTGTGGATTAGGCTGTGAGAGCTTCTTAGTATGGATAGGCAGACACAGCTATATAGACTATGAATGTGGTCTGATATTCAATGGTTCCATTGGCACTGTAGGACAAGGCTCGGACCTTCATGCGGTAGGTCTCTGCTTCTCGTAGTGGCCGTGTTGTGTACACCACTCCTTTTAGGTTTTCATCCCTCAAGGCGAAAGGAACAGTCTGGTCCTCATCCACCATAAGGAAAGTTGTCCTGGGATGCATCACTCCATCCTGCGTGTATGCAACCAGCCGGATTAAATCTTGATTGGCAGCTATTCCAAATGGAAGGGAGACAAGTTTGTATTCCAAGGCATATGGGCTCAAGGCACATTCCAGGTCATTGGGTGGACAGTTCTTGAGGCAGAACCTATGGGCAACAGACACATGAAATGCATGGAGTTATCCTGTGTGGAAGAAGGCGCAGTTTGCTGCAGGTGATCATGCTTTCTGACAACTTTTAGGCATTAAAGATCGGAGACAGTCAGCCTGCAAGAGCATAAGACTCACCCTAATTTCTAAGTCACTAATACAAAACACATGGCAGATGGTGATGAGAGTCAGCTGGTTTAAAAGCAAATATCTATCTCTCAGATCCTTTAAAATCAGAAGCCTTTGAACCATGAAAGTTAAGCATAAATACCAAAAGAGTGTCATTAAAGTGAAACGTCAGGTTTGGACATAAAAAGCATCTGCACAATAACTGGAAACAAGGGCATATTAAACAGAATACAGTCTGTTATTTGAAAAAGTTTTATTTAGAAATAACATTTTTCCTCAGATTATTTGAAAGCTGAAATATGATAGGTTAATTTCTGGCTTATTTATAAAAAATATTAGCAAAAGTTCAATTAAGACTCCTGAGGGGAAAACAATATTCTTTTGTATTTGTGTTCAACAGTGTTTTAGGTTAAAAACACTATATTTTCTTTTGCTAGAACCCACATTGACTACTTATGAATCATCCTGACTTTTAAATTGTCTGCCAGAAATCACTGGTAATAAAGAAGTGAAAAAGCATACAAAGAACCATTTTCTGAAGATATGGATTCTTCAATCATGGTATTTAGAAGTTCTGTAACTCTGTCCTTTATTAACTTTTTCTTCCCCCTTTTCAGGCCCCTCAGACCAACTGCCATTTGGTTTTTGGTGGATCTGGAGCAGGCTGTACTTGGCCATGGCACAGGGGCTCAGTGGGCACCCCCACCCCAGAGAACAGAGGAGGAGAGCGCCAACGAGGAGCTGGGTTCTGAGCCAATCTCTCATGATCAGTGTCTATCCAAGAGGAACAGCATCACTAGCTTTTAAGCACTCTGTTAACTTAGTACCTGACCAAAGAAAGCTATTTTTTCAGGGAGGGAGACAACAGAAGAGCAGTTTATTCAGAACGCAGAGAAGACAGTGTTTCAGACAGCAGGAAATGAAAACAAGATACGTAAGCTTGGGGAGACTTTTGACTCATCCTTGCTCATCTCCATTCTGTAGTGTCGAGGTGAGTCACCACAGTAACAGAGATGATGCTGCTTGAAGTGCTGTATGTGCTGAGAGCCCTTGAAGCTCTTAGGCAAGACAAGGAAACGGCAGCATTTCAACAAAAGGCAAGCCCTGCCACCACATAAAGCTATCTGGTGTCTAGATGTGACATGGAAGATGACGTGATGGGGAGACAACCTCGGAAGAGCCTGAGAATGATGGTGAGGGCTAAAAGAGTTGCTTCTGCATGAGCTCATTTCTTGCTCATTCCATGAAGAAGAGACACTGTTAACTCCATTTCCCTCAAGCCAGCAACTTCGTAGGAGTTGAACATAACTACATACAGGGGTTTCTAGCCAAAGAGACAGAGGAAGAAAGATTTTTCAAAATCCTGTCTGGGAAGACAAGGCAAGGCCTACCCCAACACAGGGTCCCGTTGATAGTTGGGTGGACAGGGCGTGTCAATGCACTGGTAGCTTCCTCTCATGTTGAAGCACATGCGGTTTGGTCCACAGCGCACATTCTGCTCCAGGCACTCATCAATATCTAGAAAGAGCAAAAGGAACACACAGCATCAGCAATGTGGCCAGAGAAGGCCCTCTTACCAGGTGGTGTGAACGATGAACACAAGATTTTACTTTTCACAAGGCAACTTGGTGGCTGGGTTTTTTTAACCACAAAGGGGAAATCATACTACCTAGTGCATGCTTTTTTTCAGATTGCTTTCAGGATAAATTTCTTTAACACATGTGAAAGGATATGGGAAAATAAGGGGCTCTAAAAGTAGAGGGGAAGCTAGAAAGCACTCTCTAGTGTCTCTTGTATTTGGAACAAGAGTCTACTTAAGTTTCACAAAACAAACGATATTCTAAACATACTATAAAGAAGCTGAAAAATTAAAGGACACTTGTAGATGTTTGTGTAGAGTGAAGAATCTCTTTAAAATGCGAATAATTCTCCCTTAGAGTTTTGTTTTATAAGTTCAAATTGTTGGATGGGGATACTGTTCAGAGGGAGATTTTATTGGAAGTGGAAATTAAATGAATGAGGTTTTAATTCAGGGAGACTATGCAGGCTAGTCAGATCTTGTGGGGAAAAAGAAAACAAATAATAAAACAGGTTGAAACTAAGGAGCCCAGAACCACAATCTATATTTGAACAATGGAGCAAGGAGTCTAACTGAAATTGAACTGTGCTGGGTCATTCTCAATTAATATGGTGATTGGATACTCCTTTTAGGATAATAAATAATGATTATTATGGGGGGAAATGAGCAAATTAAATAGTGCTTCATTTATTATTTTCTACAGAAACTTGTAACAAATAGAAAAATATCTAACTCACAAAAAAGTAAGAAATGTCAAGATAGAAAAAAAAGGGCTTTTTTAACTATCTAAAAAGAAAGATTTTTGAAGAATAACTCAACATGGGGTCATATTTGAGCTTGAAAGGATTTTTGAATGATGTGAATTTAAAGAGAGATTATTTTTTGAATATGCATGCACATGTGCATGTGTATGTGAGAGAGAGAGAGAGAGAGAATCAAACATAGAAAATGAAAGATAAAGGGAGAGAGAAAAATAAGGGACAGAGAATAAAGTGAGAGAGAGAACGGGAGAAACAGCAGGAGTTTTGCTGAAGAGGGAGTCCATAGAGTTCAACAAATCTTCAGGGATTCAGAGTCCACACACTCATTTTAGAGCAATGGCTTCACACTGGGGTATACACATGGGGCTTTACAGCAGTGTAAGGGCAGGCAAGCATCTCGCAGATTCAAATCCTTCTTTTGTGACTTCCTGAAAGTTTTCTTACTGAGAACTCGCTGTAGCTTGGAGTTCTGTTCTTCCCTTCCCTTTTAAAAATTTGTTTTCTACTCTCTTTATGATATCTGGGTATTAAAAACTTCAATGAAAGGGAACAACAATGGAAAAACTTCAATAACAGAAAGCTGTATTTCATCACAGCTACAATTCAACAGTCTTAGCTCTCTATTTTATATTTTAAAAGTAAAAACACTTATTATCATTTGAACAGCAGCTTGATCTTAGACTTTTTAATTGTCTGATTTGACAATGAGTACAGACTTGCAGGTTTTATATACATGGTGGCATCCTTCATAAATTAAGAGAGCTCAATATAGTTAAATCTCTAGTTCCAAGATTTTGTACAGAATATATTTAAAGCATCTGTATATCAAGCAAAATGCCAGAAATTGCATTTGCAAATATTTAAAGTGATGTTGAAAAAAAAAATCTTACAGATTGCCTTTTTTTAATTATGAGAGAACTGTAAGGTTTGTGAAATTCTTTTATGTTTATGAACTTTAACAAATGAAAGACTGCTTACTTTAGAGGAAATGTAAGCTGATTGGTTGCACATAGGTACTTGTATTACTCCTTCTTTAGTATTTGACTACATATAGATGCTAATGCAGAGGAAGGAAAAAAATACAGAAAGGGACCCAAAACAATTCTCTGTTGAGGTAGGCCCTCAAGATCAAAAGCATCTGTCTCATGGAAATCAGTTCCCAGATCAAAAGGTCTGTGTTACACTTGCATTTTCTTAGTAACAGGAGACTTTGTCATTGCCTGATAGTATTTATAGAAAGATAAGAAGTCTTCTCATGTGAACATTTACAGGCTCAGAAACCTAATGGGTAGTCACTATGAGTTGGAATCAACTTGATAGCCGAGGCTTTTGGCAGGCCTTAATGATATCCATAGCGAACTTGGGTTGGAAGGAAGTCCTATCATGACCCTTCAATTAACTTAGAACTTGCTATAAAAAAGGAGAGAAAAAAAAATTCCAAGGGACAGTATGTTAATCATGGACAATAAACACTAAATCTTACTTTTAAGTTTCTTATCATTTATTTGTCTCAAATTTTTAGATGATTTTTTAATTTTATTATTTTGTTTGTGTGTGTGTGTACCATCAAATGGGATCTGACTGGTACAGGAGGAGACGGCCCTTCCTTCTCCAGCAGAGCATCTGGTGGATTCGAACCACGTAGCTCTGGGATTACAGTGCAGCTTCTTGCCACTAGGCCACCAGAGCTCCTAGATTTTTTTAACACAAAATTTTATTACAAATCCCTGACTTCATTTGTACCACTAAGGCCAGGTTTTCTTTTTTCTTTTCTTTTTAAATTTGATTCTAAATGTATTCTTTTTTCTTTTTAGAAAATCATAGACGTTATAATTATTTACTTAATCTGCACAAATTAAAAATGCAATGAACTAGAATATCATGAAATAAGTTATTTATTTGACTTTCTGATTATATAGAATACTGCCAGTGGCATAATGCACTTCTATTGCTAGTTTTACATGAGGACTAGTATCCATATGAAACTAAAGCATGTTTTTCTTTCAGCTAGCCTTACTTGTCCTTGTGTACTCATTTCTAATTATGATCCTGTTAGAAGCACGTCATCTCCTTTCACAATAGAAGATTGTCTCTTAATGAAGTGAAAATCTCTGTAGGAAAATGGATGAGAAAACCAATTAGCCTTATCCCCCCCCGTACCCCCCCCCGTACCCCCCTGTCTCATTTAAAAAAAAAAAAGATCCTGGACACTCGTTCTCCAAATTTTGTGTGCGTTCTAAATCATATAATGAACTCTGCAAAGCCATGGAGGTCAGTGAGCTGCAAAGGTCACAATAATAGTGCCAGGGAGACCAGAAATTGGGCACACATGTCACTATGTATCATTAAGCAGCTACCTTATCACAGCATTTCATAGCCTGAATAAAGAGCCATAAAGTGATTGTAGTTGTATTTACAACCACGCATGAGTTCCAGAGGAGAGCTCTGATAAGAATTTGGACTGCTGGCAGGTGGCCATCCTTTGTTCTGCATTTGTGACTATCTCCTCAGGGTTAACATGCATTCACTGTGCTCACTCTAAGTTATTCACTCCACACACTGGTCTTAGTGAAAAGAAGCCAGGAGAAAAAGGAGAAACCATACTGTCTCTTTTAAGGGAGAATATGATGATAAATGGTTTTCATTCAGTATAAGAAATTATCACATTAGAAATTACATTTTAGAACATAAATATTATTTATTGCAACAACAAAAGAATCCCAAGAAAAGCTGCAGCCCTTTCATGTTGGTAGTTTTAGAACATTTGAATTCATTTAACCAAGTGCTCTCTGGGTGCTTATTTCAAAATAGAGTAAGCATCTAGATAAATCAACCTTACAGAAATTATGCAATAAATCAGACTAATGTTAAACATTATGGGTTATCTTTTAAAAACATGGAAACAGAAAGAGCGCTGTTCTATTGTGAACTTGTCATCAGTATCACAAAACAAGATGTGTTTCAATTGTTGCACAGAAAATAATTTTGCTCTGTAAACATTCATCCAAATCATGATAAAAATTTGAAAAGAATGGATTTATTGGCACACTCATTTCCAATGTAGTGCCTATGCAATCATTTTTGGAATTAGACAAATTGTGCTTAAATTTAGCCTAAGGCTCTTTAATTTCTCTCACCACTTTTTAGGCACATCATAATTGGCCACATTTTTTCTTCCTGTGGTTCTTTTTGTAGTCCTGTGACTGTCACTTTTGACAGAGTCACTTTTGTTGTTCAATGTCAAATTAATTTTAATTCCTCTTTTATAACTGTTAAGATTTCTATCATTAATGTATTAAAGTTTTTTTAAAAAGTAGGTGAATGATAAGCAGGCTTTTGTTACTGATAAATGCCTCAAACACTTTCTAAAGCTATAAAAAAAAACAACCTCCAAGTTATTCTTTTAGAGTAAAGGCTTTTTTATAGGGCATAATTGTTTTCTTTCATGTCTATTTAAAACCACAAAAATATGTAACTCATTTAAATTGCAAACATTTCCAATAACACCTGTTTTTTATTTGTTCACATTATTTTCCACTTTGAAGCACAAATGAAAACTGAACAACGTTTTGAACTGAATGAGTGACAAGAGCAATTTAAAAACACACTGGCATAATTAAAAAAAGAAAAGCTCTCAAATGACCACTCAACACAGTTTAACCATTTTACATCTGACTAAGATTTCTGAAGCCTGATCTGAGTTACTCCAAATGCGTTAGTCTCCAGCCTGATGCTGCTTGCCTGTTCCACCTGCAGGGAGTGCAATTTCAGCATCAGGCCATCTCTACATTGGGATTCTGAAGTTGAAGAGGTGGGGAAAGTTATGCAAGGTCATTGCTCTCAGCCAACTCTGCTGCCGCTGTTCAGTAATGTTGTTCTCAGAGTATAGCAGAGACACAAAGACCTCATCCAGGTATTCTGACACACAGGGTTAGGCCCCTTCTCTTACCTTGATTGCTCTAGAACATTGAGGTTGTGCAACGCTTTTGGGAATTTGTTTAATTATTTGTAGAAAAGGACACAAAGTTTGTCCTAAACATACTTTATTGCTGGTTAAAATACTATTATTAAAATTTGAAATATATAAAAGTATACTTTGGGCTTGTGGTCAGAAGAGACCAGTCCCTGGAGAAGGACATCATGCCTGGAAGGGTGGACGGACAGCGCAGGAAAGGGAGACTCAGGATGAGATGGATTTATACAGTGACTGGGTCGATGGGGTTGATATGTCAGAATTAGTGAGACTTGGCTCAGGACAGGGCAGGGCTCAGAGCTGCTGTACATACGGTCACTATGAGTCACAGGTGACTCGGTGGTGCATAACAACAACAACAACAACAAACAACAACAACATGATATATTTGTTCCAGTAAAGCTCTACTCAAGGAATTGACATATTGCCTTGGGGAAAATCTGAGGCAAAAGAGCTCGTTAATGTGTTGTTAAGCAAAGCTGTTATTTTGAGAAGGAGGGTCTGGCTCAAGTCATGGTATTTTCAATTATATGAGAGCTAGATAATGAGTAAAGAAAATGCTGAAGTGGAATTGATGCCTTTAAATTATGGTGTGGGAAAAGGAGTAAAAAAAATGAACTGGGTAGTGGTCTAGGTGTGGGGCTGCTAACTGAAAGGTTAATAGTTTGAACCCATCATTTGCTTCTTGGTAGAAAGATGAGATAATCTTCTCCCATTAATATTTAGAGCCTTTAGACTCTCAGTAGAGTGGTCATGAGTCAGAAACAGCTTGCTTGTCCTGAGATTGGTTTTGGTTTCTGGCCAGAAGAAGGAAGAGTCAGAATGCCCCTTAGAATGAAGGGTGGTAAGACTTTATCTCATGCACGTTAGAAATGTTATCAGGAGGGATTGGTCCTGGGATAAAGAGGTCACGCTTGGAAAAAGGGGCAAGTTAGTAAAAGGTGGTGGAAAACCATCAAACAGCATGGACTGACAATGGTCTCAAGTCCAGAAATGATTATTGAGGCTCACCAACAATGGGCGGAGTTTCATGATATATGATTGCTGTGAGCCAGAATTGACTTGATGGTACCTAACACCACCACCACAACCAAATATTATGCACAGTGGATGTTCTGAGTAAATGTTTCATGATTGACAGATAAAAACAAAATGTCTTATTGAGTTCGTTTTCCTTTTCCAGGTCATATGGCCCAATGGAGTGCTTGGGATGAAAGAGGACCTGGGTGGGAATGGGAAGGAGATTCACGGTAACTCGGTAGAAGGAATTTTTCTCGTATTATCTCCAGAAACACATCCTTTCCATGAGATATTTTTCAAACCTTAGCATCTTTTTCAAATCTTTACAAGTCTTGTCTGACTGTCACACAGACAGGAAGGTCAGTCTATATTTGACTGTGACTACAAAACACTTTGTTGTTGCTGTTGTTGTTGTGTGCTATTGAGTCAGACCTGACCCATAGCTGGCCCTGTAGTGGGTTTTCAGAGACAGTAAATAGGTTGGATGGAGACTGCCCATCCTTCTTCAGACCACCTACCTGGTAGATTCAAACCGTGGGTCTTTGGGATTGCAGTGCAGCCTCTTACCACTAGGCGAACACTTAGTTGATGATTTTATTACTATAATTAAAAAAAATTGTTTTGTGTGTGCTTGAGAGAAACGAATAGAATTCAGAGGATTATCAAGATTTACAGAATACTCCTAGATATTATTCACAAAACTGAAGGAGTTTCCGGTTGTTGTTGAATTGATTGAGACTCTTGGGTATCTTATTTATACGTGCTTCCTAGGGGTTCCAATGGCTAGTTTTTCCTAAAATTTTTATGTCTTTTTAACCAAAGGATCCCTGGTGGTGAGTTATATGTCAGGCTGCCTAATTGAAAGGCTGCCAGGTCAAGTCCACCAGGCATTCCATAGAAGAAAGATATTCATTCTCCTCCTGTAAAGATTTTTTTTTAATTTTAATGGAGATTTTATTGTAAGTTTATAAAGAACTTGGATTTCCATTCATTCATTGTTGCACATTTTCCTCCCTGGCCCCCTAACCCCCATTTGCTTTTTATTTAGAAAAAAAAGTTCTTTCATTGTTATACAGTCCCTCCCACAGACCAATTTACTATGTAGCTCTTATTCTGGGCTCTTGTCACACCAATAATACCTAATCATATATTCCTTTTATACAGTTCTCGCCTTTTTCTGTTTCAATGCCATGTACATTATTTCCTCCAGTAAAGATTTAAAACCTCAGAAGCCTGATGAAAGATCAGTATCAGCTGGAATTGACTCAGTGGCAGTAGATTTAATCCAGACACACTAGTCTAAATACACATTGTACTAGAATTGCTGTTAGACGTCATTGGATCATGTGTGACTCCTAGTGACCCTCTGAACAGCAGATAGAAACCTTGCTCTATTCGGCAACACCTTCACAGCTGCCACCATGCTCATTCCATTGCTGCAGTCTCTTGTACTAAACTAAACATGACCAACATACAATGCTTTTTTTTGCATTTTTGCATAGAGTGAACTACTGATGCTACTTTTCCTCATCATCAATATACTTTGTGCACAGTTTAATTATGGTATCGATTATTTTTCAATTTAATTATTTCTTAAAGTCTCTAGACTGTAAGATCTAAAAAGGGAGGGATTGTTTCATACTAGTCTGTACAGACCTTTTGTGTCCTACAATAGTAGCACAAAGTAGTGCTCACACCCTGTTTATTATGGCTTTGTCTGCAATAGCTAAGAGTTGGAAACAACTCAAGTGCCCATCAACAAACAAATGGATAGAGAAGCTGTGGTATATTCACACAATGGAAACTATGCTGCATTGAAAAATAAGGAACTCATGAAATAATATACAAAATTACTCTGGAGGGCATTATGCTGAGTGAAATATCTCAGTTACAAAAGGACAAATACTGAATGGGGCCACTGTTATAAAACAGGACTGACATCGGGGCTGGGGGGAGGCTGAGAAAGAGGGGATAAATAATGTATACTGCATTGAGACAGATGAGGAAGAGAACTGTTTAAAAGAAATATAGGATTAGGTATTATTGTTATGACAGGAGTCCAGAATGAAGGCTGAACAGTGGTGTGGACTTGGGGGGAGGGATTTTACAACAAGAAAGAATTTTACTTTTGAAAGGGAAGAGCAAATTGGAGGGGGCAGGGAGAAAAGTACAACAATGAATGAATGGAAACCCTAAGTGTCTGTAACTTTCATTAAAATTAATGAAAAAATTTCTAAATATAAAAAAAAATCATTCATAGTATCAAAGAATAAATTAATTATTCACTTAATTTGCCTTTGACAACTCTAAAAGCTATCTAACAAGAGTGCAATGAAGCCTAGTGCCAAAATAGATTTACTGTGAACACTCCTCATTTCCCCTCCCATCTAAGGCTAACTGTGGGAGGAGGGAATCGTTTAGAGAGGTTCACTCTTAGTGTGGAGCGGTTAAAATGCTCCGGTGCTAACCGAAAGTGTGATGGTTCCAACCCCGCCAGCTGCTCCACATGAGAATGACGAGGCCGTCTGCTGCCACAAAGGTTACAGTCCTAGAAACTCTGAGGGCCAGTTTTCCTCCATCCTACAGGCTCACCTGAGTCAGCACTGACTTGAGAGTGGCTGGCTTTCTTCCCATTAAGTCTTAAACAATCTTTTATGGACTGATTTGACAATTTTAACTCTTTCTAGAAAGAACGTACCAAAAGAAGTTTCTCATCTCCCCTCTTTGCTTAATTCCTTTCTTTTGCTCATCTGTTTGTTGGAGAAAGTGTATCTTAGCATACTCCTTAGAGGTATGGAGAGTGATACTTCATTTTATATACATTGGGCATGTTTTGGCTTTAACTTTGGGTGTGTTGTCAGAGGGGGCCAGTCCTTGGAAGAGCATTTTAACATGCTATCAAGGACTTCGTTAAAATGCTGAGGAACAAAAATATTTGAAGATTAAGGTGTGCCTGATATAAGCCATGGCATTTTAAATTGCTTCCTATGTATCTAAAAATACTGGGCAATGAATAAAGAAGACTGAAGAAGACTCAAGCCCTGTTGATGCAGAGTGTTGACTACTGCAGGCACTGTCAGAAAAACAAACACGTATATGTTGGGGAAAGTACAACCAGGATGCTCCTTAGAGGAAAAGTGGTGAAACTTCATCTTAAATACTTTGGACATGTTGTCAGGAGGGGCCAATCTTTGGGGGGAAAAAAAAAATCAAGCAACGAAAGGAGTGTCATTGAAAGATGTGACAATCCTCAAGGAAATAGACTGACACAGGGACTGTAACAATAGACTTGAGCATGGTAGAGATTGTGAAGATGGGATACGGTTTTGATCTGTTGTTCACAGGATTGTTATGAGTCATAGTCAACTTAATAGCACATAACCACCACCACCAACATAACAACAACCTATAAAAGCAATGTTTAATGACAAGCTTGTCCAATGGGAATGGGACAAAAGGGACAACAATCAGGAGAGTAATTATTCAAAAGTGCATCCATTTCCTTTTTCTCTTGTGCTGTATTGGTTTTAAGTTGCAGTGTAAGCATCCCAGCAGTCCCTCACCTTGACATGTCTTTCCATTCAACATGAGTTGATAACCAGGAGGACAGATACACTGATAACTTCCAAAGGTGTTTCTGCATTCATGCTGGCAGGTATCTCTAGTTTCACATTCATCAATGTCTGTTCAGAAACAAAACAGCATGTATAAGCATGCAAAACAAAAACAGAAATAAGGTAGAGGCAGCCATAAACATGTCATTGATATCCTCATGAAAAATTTCTTGGTCGTTTCACATTCATGTGTTTAAAAATGTTCTACACTGTTTCAGGATCTGTTTTTAATAAAATTTGATATAAACGACATTAAATTAGAAAATGTGAACATTTCTTCTGCGTGTAAGCATATATGAGCTGAATCCCTGAACTAGGCAATTTTTATATTAGTTAAACAAGGCAAGACTGAAATGACAGAGAAAATAGATTTGTACAAGACCTTATCTCACCATAGCACTAATCTCTCCATGACAGGACTTGCTTAAAAGAGAAAGTTTCAGTTAAGGTTAATTGGAAAGTAGATTTTAGTTTGTAATTGGTTTAAATATTAGCACCCATGTTCTCTCTCCCTGCCTTCCCCACATAGTTTTCACACACACAGCTATCAACAAATACCACAAATCTTACTGTTATAAGAATAGCCAGTGAAACTTCTCAGACAAATATAGAGTTGCTGCTATGTACCACTGAGTCAGAACTGACCCATAGCTGACCCTCCAGCACGTTTTTCAGAGGCAGTTTAATCACACAGGAGGAACTTGCCCATGCTTCTCCAACGAGCCCCCTGGTGGATTTGAACCATGTGCCTTTGGTATTGCAACATAGTTTCTCACCACTAAGCCACCAGAGCTCCCTAAATATAGAGTTTATTGTTGTTGTTTACCATAGAGTTGGAATTGACCAATAGCTGACCATCTGAAAGGTTTTCAGAACTCCCCAAATAAAGAGTAGTAATGAAAATTATACAAACTGACATTTAATATAAGTTGATAGCCAAGTGGGAGATGCATTGATAGTTTCCCAAAGATGCTTTTACATTTTTCTAGCAGGTATGAATTTTTTCATAATCATCAATATATCATGTAGGAAAAATGTTAAAAA